ATCCTGGTCTTGACTTGCTTAGGCTGGCCTCAAACTCACAGTGATCCTTCTGCCTCAACCTCCCAAGAGCTGGGATTATGGGCATGCACCACCAAACCTAGCTCTGGTTCAATTCTGTGCCTCAGTTTCCCTAATAAAGGAATACTTTAACATAAACCTTTCTGAATCCATGTTTAAAATTATTGAATTTATGGAGACCTTATCTTAAAAATAGGATGTGTAAATGTAAATGCTTATTATTATTAGTTTTAAAATACCTCTGTGCTGATCACATTGAAGAAAAAACTTAACAAATACTTATTGTTTAACATCTACAGCTTACTATAATCTCTTTGTACACAAAACACATAAGCATTTTTATTAGTCAAAATTAAACATCTGGCAACAATTTTTAGATCTTGACAAATCAGATGCCAACATGACGCATCTCAGGGGACAAAGATTATATTTCCCACTCCTGAAAAAAAGGGTGGGAAAAAATCTTATGCTTCCTGAAAGCCACACTTTGGTTCCTTCTCACATCCTTATCTCAGGAAGTGACTTCCACATAGAATTCTATGAATGGTTCCTCAAAACTCTTTCCATTCTTTGGACCAGAGCAAAGCATGTAGCTGTGAAACCACCATCCAATCTGCTCAGCAAATCCAGCTCTGTAGATCCCTGGGTTGCAAGGAGGAAGAATTATAGTGACGATTCTCTTGGTTACTTGGTGATAAGGTCCCACTGTGACCCAGGAGGAACAGGAGGTGGGTAATTTGGCCACTATGTGACAGAACAAGAGGGTGCCCTACATGAAAAGGACAGGCACTTGGGACTGTCCTGCTTCTGGCCCATGACAGCTCTGACTCACTGGGCAAGCAGGCTGGGTTCCAGATCTAGGGAAGGAGAGGAGGGAAACAGCTGGAAACAGGACAGCTGGTACCCGCAGGCCCTGCTCAGCTTGCATTCCAGCTCCTCACTCACACTGGAAAGTGAAACTTTTTCATGTTTGGTTGACAGTGTTTTAGATAAACTTGGCAGGCTGTAGGGACTGGCCCTATTGGCCCTCCACCCCTTTGGAACTACTAATTCTGATTTACACAGCATAAGCAAATCACCAACAAACTGGGCTATTAACAGAGCTCTGCCATGCCCTCTGTCAGTGCTGTGTAAAGGATCCGCAGTGGCTAACACTTCCTGTGTCCCCGCAGGGGTCTGCATGCAGGTGCAGGCCACTACTACAGGAGGCAGTGGCCACAGAGCAAGGCTGTGGGCTTCTGGGCTCTGAGGAGGAAAGGTCTCTTCCTAGATGTGAGAGAGCTACCCAGGAGAAGGCAGGAGGGGACAGAGGAGTTTCCCGCTGTCAAGGTGGGAACAGCAGGAGCGGTGAATAGATCCAGAAACCACAGGATCCTCCAGAGAGGCAGGACAACCACCAGGCCTCACAGCCTTGGGACCCCATCAGGCCCTCTCAGCCTCTCCACAGGTCCTCTCAGCCTCACCTCTCCACAGGTGCTGTGGAGTGTTGCTGTTGAGTGCCCTGGTGCCTCAGAATGCAATAAAACTGTGTTGCCTACTGTTTGCAGGGAAAGCTGTGCTTTTCTCTCCAATGCTTCCTGCTGCTCACTCGGCCAGTCTCCTGGGAGGTCACTAAGCGGTCATGAAGGATGGCTGGGTCGGGCTGACAGCGTTCAGGGTACATTAGTCATGGGCTCAGTGCTGGAGAATGACAGAAGCAGCTGGACACGGGACAGGAGCACGGTGTGGGTCGTGTCCACCTCAGATGATGTGTCTAGCTGTTGCCGGGGCCTGGCTCTGCATCTGTAACTTTTCTGTGTTACCCAACTGACTGATTTGGAGGCATTGTTAGAGACAAGGAGCAGAAAGTGGAAGCCCAGTAAGATGTGATCCCCGATGTGCTGAGCTCCTTCCTTTCTTTGCCCTCGAGCACACAGAAGGATCTGAGCTGCTCTTTGGTACCAACCACTTTTGTCTTCATTTCTTATGGCTCACAGGCAGTTTATTGCTTTCACACACAACAGTGTTGTCCGCTGACGGCTTCAGACCCACCTAGAGGCAGAAGGAGAGAGTTTTTCTGGTATCACCAGAGCTCCTTTGACCCCAAGAGCTAACTGCAGGAACTTGAGGTGTGGACACCATTGGTGAGAAACAGTCACCCCAACTTGCTAACCAGTGGGGGCTTCCCCAGCAAAGGGCAGGGGCACAAGACTCCAGCTGGTGCCAAAATGGACGCCAAAGTCACTTCACAACTGAACAAAGAGCTATTCAGATCCCAGCTGTTGTTAGAAGGAATCCTGCACAAGAAATGCACAGATATCATCTGTGATGAGGCCTAGGATTTCAACGGGCAAAACATTTTGCTTTTTCCTCTAAGGCAGTTTTAAAATTTTGATTTATATCCCTATTATTTCAGTGAAGAGAAGCACAACTAATAGTTGCTTGGCCTAGAAGATTCTGGCAGGGATATTTGAGTCATAAAGTATTAGCCACACGTCTTTTTGGATATTCTAATATAAACTTTGTGGGAAACTCTGCACTTCATGCCAGGACAAAACCAAAAGTCTCTTATCAGAGGTTCCTTCTCACTCCCTTGCCTAGAAATGAATCTCATTGGTCAATGGCACCAGTTTTTGGCTCTGTTTTAGGGAATCACCCAGCTGTGGCTGCTCCTTGCTGTCATTTTTTTTCCATGCTCAAGAAATCTTTTCACAAAGATGCTTCTAAGAGGAAAAAGTTGTTTGTTCATTTAGTGCAAGCCACTATAGGAGGCAGTAGCTAGGAAACTATAATAGGGTCTGAGAAACAGGGGAAGAACTCGGAAGGGCCCTAATCCCTGGAGTTGTGTGCTATGATGGGAACTGATGGCCAGGCCTGGCTCCACCATGGCTGTGTTCTTCAAGACTGCTCAGTCATTCACCCACCCTGTGTCACACACTGTGCTCAGCACTTGGAACTCATGGGGTGGAATAGATATGGACAGTGTTCTTGTGTTACTTTTCCCATCACTGAAGCCAAATACCCAACACCCAAAGTTAAAGGAAGAAAGGTTTATTTGGCTCAGAGTTTGTAGAGGTTATGTACTTGACTGACTCCAATGCAGGATGGCTTGGCAGAGGGACTTGGCAGAGGAGAACAGTACATGACACCCATAAGATAGCAAAAGCAATAAGGGAGGGAAGATGAGCCTCTTTCTCTTATATTGTGTCCAGGGTACTGGGATTAGGGTATAGCCAATCCAACCAGTGGACTGATCCAGAAATCCCTTAATCCTAGCACCCTTACTCCCAACATTGTACCAGACTATCTCTCTTTACTCTAGGACATTATAAAAATGAGCAAAACTCTAAGGAGGAACAAGATGTGAATTCATGTGGTAACTGGATAAACCTTAAAGAAAAGCAATGCTAAAGACCACATATTATATAACTTCATTCATATGAACATTCACTATCAGAACCAGATTAGTGGTGTCAGGCACTGAAAAGGCAGGAGGTGAGGATCAACTGCTTAATAGGTACAAAATCTCCTTTTCTCTTGATGCAAGTGTTTTGGAACCAGGTCTGGGTGGTAGGCGCACAGCATTATGAATAGCTAAAGGGCTTACCTCAGTGGTTAATGTTGTGTGAACCTCACCTCAATGAAGCACAAAGTGATAAAGCAAAAAACCAAAACTGTTCTTCCCTCCTGTCTTCTGTTTGCCTTATTGTATGGTTTTAAGATTGAAAAGAAACAAAGTCATAATGCACTGAGGTTTTTAATACCTTGGGGTTTTATTAGAGGTGATAGCAATGTGTTCCCCCATGATTTTCACCTACTTTGTACAATTTAGATTTCAGTCCAGGGCTTCAGGAATATTGCGAACAGCTGCTCTGGAATCGTCCACCTGACTATAAACGACATGCCCACCCTAACGGACAACTGTGTGAAAGTAGGTGGCTGGGAAGCGGATTTTTCATTCAATTCCATTATATGAGTGCATTGGTGATTCAGTGGTAGAATTCTTGCCTGCCATTACATCAGCGTACACTGCAAAACCTTGAATTATTGGAAAGTGTGAATTGGTCTTTTGTTTTCATTAATAGTAAGAAGATCATATAAAGGCTCACACACATACATATGCTCACGCACACACATACAAGTGTACTTGCCAAAATATTTCAACATTTCAATTCTTAAGTACTTTAAAAAAAAACCTTTGTTTTATGGTTAGGATATTTCTGTCTCAGGGGTGTGTTAGTCTGAGCATAGAATTGAAATTTCATTCTCCCGTCCAAGTACTAGCCCCCATCCTGATTAACTTAAATTCAATTCTCCATGTCAAGCTGTCAAATGTAATGATTTTTTTCAGCATTCCATCTTCTCATATTTTCCAATTCTTCTGTAACATGATTGAATTCTGATTCATCTGCATTACTCACATGTGAGTATATTACATCATACTGAAAAAAACCATTTTTTTCAAAATCAGGAACATTTAATGGCTAGCACATCTGTTTATGTATGTATTGAAAGTGAAGGATGACCTCATTACCTTACTGAGCTTGTTCTGTACAGTGTGGTTAATTTAATTATCTTTTTTCCCAAAGGCTTTAGTGGAGAAGTGCCACTCTATTGCATCAGTGGTTTTCATTGGTTCACCACATATCTCTGATAGTACTTTCGACGCTCTTTCTACGTGTAACCTCAGGAAGATCCGATTTGAAGGTCTATGATATTTAAAATGTGGTTCTATCATGTTTTGTTTTACTTTTGCTTCTGTGGCATTACAACTACAATACTTTTCTTCTTTTAAACAGGAAATAAAAGGATCACTGATGCATCTTTCAAATTTATAGACAAGAATTATCCAGATATCAACCACATTTACATGGTCGACTGCAAGGGAATAACAGATGGTAGCCTCAAGTCACTCTCACTTTTGAAGAAACTCACTGTGTTGAACTTGACAAACTGTGTAAGGTAAGAAGCCATTTAGTCCATATTCAACAAATATTGGATATTGAGGATGCAACAGTCCCTTTTATGAAGAAGCTCCTGGCTGGTGGGTTACATAGGAAAGCTGGTAGACATAAGTGCAGAGTTCTGTTGGAACAAGGAGGGGGACCCAGCCCTCTCACCATGAGCCCATCATTGTCTGTGGTAATGTGAAAGGACCAGGTAATGGGAGACCCAGGAAATCTCAGGATGAAGAATTACACACTCCTGTGATATAAAGTGAATCATGGGCTACGTTTCATAGTGAGGGTTCCCACAGGTAGGTCAGTTAACAGGTTATTTTCCAAACTAGACTTTCTGACTTACTTTTGAAGAACCATTCTAATTGTGGGATTTTTTTTCTTTGGTACAGATTTCTTCTATGTGGATTTTTTTTGACAAGTGGGCAAGTGGGAAATTCTTATTGAAACTCTTTTCAGAGGAGCCAGTGCTATTGGGCTACTAGCTTGTTGTTCTCAAGTGGTCAAGGATCAAATTTCTTCTAAAAACTCTTCTTCAGAGGATATCTTAGCCTCTTATCTGTGTAGATTTCCTATATTTTTATAGGGCAAGATGAGAACAAATATCATTTGATCCACAATAAAGATGGCTAATATTGGGAAAACATAAGACAAGTGAGAGTTATAAATTAAGCTATAAACTGTTAGCCCATGGGTCCTATGATTATAGCAGTAAGGCAGCATGAGTGGAGAGGTGGTTAGGAGAGACATAGGATTTGGAATGGGAACAACCTCAATTAAGAAATGAGGCCTACAGCCTACAGCCAGTGAAGAATTGAAGCCTCTGGCCAATGGTCAAGTTCATGACGTTGGACATGAACATTCCAAACCCAGCCAAATACCAGTACACCCAACTATAAAAAACAAATGTTAGTGGACATAAAAATTCAAATAAGCTCAAATACAATTTTAACAGGAAATCTTAATACTCCACTGTCACAAATATGTCAAATAGACCAAAAAATCAACAAATAAATATCAGATATCTTTGAGCATTGGATATTTTGTCTTAGCAATGAGAAAAGTAAATACAACACATAATTAATGCAATCCCAATCAAAATAGCAAGGGCATATCTCATGGAATTAGGGAAAACAATTCTAGAATTCATTTGAAACCAGAAGAGATCTAAAATAGCAAAAACATTTCTGGGCAACAAAGCAAAGGCAGGAAGCATCACAGCCCCCGACTTGAAATTATACTGCAAAGTTAACGTGATAAAAACAGCATGGTACTCAAAAGATCTACAAACAGTGGTACAGGATTTCAGGATAAATCCTGAGGGGATTTGACTGAACTTATCAGATATAAAAGTTACATTTCTTGTTATATAGGTTTTGCTTTATCTTGGTCTTAACCATCCAGAAGAAAAGTATAAAAATGAGGTATCAAAAGTAAATCTATATTAATATGCTGGGCTGTAAAAGGCTCAAGTCAACAACTTATGACGTTGCCAATCCTATGGATAACCCACTACTATTACGGACTACTGGACTATATTGGAATATTTTGCTGAATTCACGAACCTACAATATCTGAATGACAATGGAATACCCTTCTCTGACAAAACTAAACAAAAAAGGGGCTACAAATGAACGACTATTTTATATCTGTATATTCAAAATAGGATAGATATACAGCTGCATTCTCTTAATTCAGTGTGGGCCGGGGAGATGGCTCAGTGGAATAAGCACTTCCCTGGCAAGCACAAGGGTCTGAGTTCAATCCCCAGTTCAAAAAAAAAAAAAATCAGTGAATAGAGAGATTTATTCTAATAGTATTTGTGGACAGGTTATCATGTCTGCATCTTGTACCATGAGTTACCACTAAGACAACAATATGCAATGTATTAATTATTGAAACTATACTAGTAATTGGTTTTAAAACTGTCTCATTGCTATTTGTTTCTCAATAAAATTATGTTTTAAAAAACAGCATGGTACTGGCAAATAAAACTGACCAGAGAAACAATGAAACAGACTAGAAGATGATAGAAATAACTACAAACATACTCTGCCACTTTATCTTTCACAAAAGAGCCTAACACATTTATCAGTGAAAAGAGAGCCTCTTTAATAAATGCCTAATAAACAAATCTGGAAACACTGGCATTCCATGTGCCAAAGATTAAAACTAGACCCACATCTTTCACCATGCACTAAACTTAAATTGAAATGGATAAAAATGTAAATATTAAATACCAGAAAGTCTAAATCTGCTGGAAGATAAAACAGATAGAACTCTTGAAGACACTGGTACAGGCAAAGACTTCATGGACATAACCCCAAATGCACAGGAAGTATCACAAAGAATCAACAATTGGAATCTGATCTTATTAAAAAATTTTGGCACAGCAAAAGAAATCAGCAGAGTGAAGAGACAACCCACAGTATGGGGAAAATGTTTGTGCTGGCTGTCCCTCAGACCAAGGATTATTATCTAGAATATATTTTAAAATTTTCAAAAACCTCAGCCCCGCCCCCCCAAATTTAAAGGCCCAACCCAAAAATGAGCATCTGAAATGATTAGACACGTCTCAGATGAGGATGTAGAAATGGCAAGTAAATGCATGAAAACCATTTCAACATCACTGGTCATACGAAAGATGCAAATTAAGATTTCCATCTCACTCAAGAAAGAGTGACTGTTACCAAGAAATCAACCAATAACAAATGCTGACAGGGTTGTGGAGTAAAGGAGCCCTTCCTCACTATTGATGGGAGTGTAGACTGCAGCAACCACTGTAGAAATTAATGTGGAGATTCCTCAGAAAACTAAAACTAGAGGTTCCATTTGACATAGTTTTTCTCTTTTTTTGTTATTTTCCCAAAAGAATGAAAATCATCAGACCTCAACAATATTTGCATCCCCATGTTTATAGTGGGTGTTTATGGTCACAGTTTTTCATAGCTTAGAAACACATTTAATTAAAAAAGAAATTCATAGACTGAAAGTCAAAGGATGGACAACAATCCTCCATGCAACAGGAACCCGGAAAATAGCAAGGCTATCTTGACTGCAAACTCCAGAAACACCCTGACCTAGAACCACCCAGCTGCTGCTCCACAGCCAGTTCCTAAGATCCAGAACTGGAAGATGCAGGAAAAGCATTTGCCACTGAAGACACAAAGATTGTGTCTATGTATGGCATAGTGATAGATTACAGAGACCCATATGTGTGTTTATTGGTATCTTTCATCCTAGCTATACTAATATGTGAAATAAAATGGAATTTCCTTCTTGTATTTTACTCAAGATATGCAAGTTAATTTTAAATTCAATGAAAATTTTCTGTTTCCAGAAGTATAGTTGACAAGATGCTTCAGTGGACTCTGCCACAGTTTAGACCCTAGAGGAAGTATACTCTCAGTACATTGCTGAGCTCACTGAAAATATAATTAGAAATAAATGTCCCCGTGGGAGGAAGGGAGGGCATGGAGCAGATCTCCAGCTGGTTATGAAGCAGGATGGACACAGCGGCTCATGCTGACTCTTGTTAGGACTTAGCAGGAAGGCTGAGGCCAAGTCTTTTCCAGCATCAGGTTTTTGTGGTTCAAGAAAAGATCTGTAGGCCACCCATTGGTTTAAATCTGGCTGAACTGACCTTGTATTTAGCAGAAATTTCTCCAAGATGCTAGCAGCTGTTTGGCTGTCAGTCTTGGTTTCTGTGTGCTAAATTTTGGTCTGTTTCTGTTGCATGAAATTGTATCATAGATTGCTTAACTTCATTACATTTTAACCTGGGAGAAGAGCCCATTTGTGTTATTAAGAATTGTGCTTAATTAAATGAACACATAAACAAAAATAACATTTTTATTAATATTTCTTGTTACTATCATTTATACATTTCCCATTCCATTAAAGTTACCTGATCAAATTTGGTTTTAAATGCCAACAAAATTCCTGAATGAGGTATCTTTCACTATTTTGCAAATATATGGTATAGAAACTATCATTTTAATGGCATCCTATATGTTCATACAAGACATAACATATGAAGCTTTCTCTTTTCTCCAGGATTGGTGATACAGGACTGAAGCAATTTCTTGATGGTCCTTCAAGTATCAGAATAAGAGAGCTCAACTTAAGTAATTGCGTGAACCTGAGTGACATCTCTCTTGTGAAACTCGCCGAGTGGTATGCCAGAGCAATCTTCTACCTCATAGCATTAGTACCTGTGTATTTGCTATATGAGAGGTCATAGATGGACCTCAAAGCAAAGACTGCAAGCAATTGGGATGCCCAGAAGCTGGTCCTGTCCTCAGTGAAATCAAATCAAAGACACTGACCTCAACAACTGAACCACTTTTGACTCTATCTGAGCCATTTTCTTATTATTGTAACCTAAAAGAAAAGTTAAGATGGAGTCATTCATGAAGTATGGAATATCTGTATGTGGGCGACTTCTTTGAAATTTTCAAGGATATTGTCTTTGGAAACCTTACCTCCAGCATTTCCCAAGAAGTGCTCATGCTGGCTGGTTTATTTTGGACCCCGTGTCAGAGGTCTTGTGTTCACTAAGGGCCAGCTCAATTCGAGCAGCACATATGTAAGGGATAAGTGTGGTGCTTCACCTTGCCCTCAGTAGCGGCTCATCAGGGCGTGTCTGTGATCGCCCTTGTGTCCCCGTGATATGTGTGTGTGTGTGGCATGTTAGAAACCACGATATGAAGCTAAAAGAAAATCTTATAATCTACCTTCCTTTCTTCCAACTTTAAAATACCAACTTATTTTCTACTTTTAGGTTTACACTTGTGTTGAAAAAAGGAAAATCCTTGCTTCCATATCATTCCTTTTCTTCCAGATAGTTTTTATTTATTTTTTTTATTTTTTTATATTTTTGTGTGTGTGTGGCCAGCTCAGCCCACCAGGGGGCGGGGCTGGCTGGCATGTGGTGCTGGGGGATTGAACCACGTCCCTGTGCTTTGCTTAGCTTAGCTTGTTCTAAGTAGGTGCTTTAGACCACTGAGCCATCTCACCAGCCCCTCCAGATAGTTTTTATACAAAGAAGTTCGTAATGATGGTATGATTGAAAGCTAGAATTAATTCTTCATGTTGCTTGCTTTCAGCTGCCAAAATTTAAACTACTTGAGTTTACGAAATTGTGAACATTTGACGGACCAAGGAATTGAACATATTGCAAACCTCTTTTCTTTGGTATCACTGGATCTCTCTGGAACAGTCATTTCTAATGAGGTAAAAAAAAAAAAAAAAAAAAGTCAAAGGCTTATTATTGTTTTTCATAATATAATTATTTTCTGATTTTAAATAATAAAGAGAACAACAGTTAGTTTTATTCCTTAAATTATTAGATTATAAGTGGCAAATTTAAAATATTGTTTCTAGAAGAGTGATATGTGAGGCTGTTTGTAAATCAGTCTTGTTTCTCTGATTAAAGAATAGAAAATTCAGTAATTTTAGGATCGAAGTGTTACTTGACAACCTGAAGTTTATTTCTTTGCAGAAGCTTGGTATTTTAGATAGCTTAAATATACTTTTATATTTTTACTATGACTGCTTATTCTGAAAATGAGTGCTGTGAGATCTAAGTCTTTAATTGAAGACTAAATTCAGAAACAGGCTCATAAAGTCCACAAAAGGACACATTTGTTTATTATTATTATTATTTTTTTTTTGCGGTACTGGAGATTGAACTCAGGACCTTATGCTTGTAAGGCAGGTACTTATGCGGCTGAGCTATCCCCCCAGCCCTGAAAGGACGCATTTAAAGGAACTCATTTCCTATGAGCTGCTGATATGCTCTTCAGAGCCACAACCTAGGACACACCCATCCCACCACTGCAGCACAGCCTCACTGATTAATCTAAGGAGTGGAAGTTATGGGTTGGCTGTGTTTCTGAAAGCTCTCAAGGCACTGCTCATAAACAAGGAGTGTTATGTACTGAGTGTACTGGGATGGCTGCAAGAAGACCATGGAGGTGAGAACTCTTCCTCCTCCTCCTCCTCCTCCTCCTCCTCCTCCTCCTCCTCTCCTTCCTCCCCTTACTCCCTTTCCTTCCCCCTTCCTCTCCCCCCTCCTCAGTTTTGAGGTGCTGGTATTTTTTCTACAAGTAGTTTCTAAGCTCTTTATGTATTGAGCGAAGAATTAGTCAAGACAAGCACAAAAGGTAGCAAGGTTTTACGTTTATTAAAGGTAGGAAAAGTAACAGGCTCAGCAGAGGAAATTTGAGTGTGGAGAAATTAGGAAAAGTACACTGTACAGCAAGAGGGTGGACGACTGTGAAGGTACACAAGGGCGGAGGTCTCCTTTTGGTGCTATCCACTCCTCAGGGTGATGTCGGGCCTAGGTATACTAGCCCGAGCTGCTTGAGTTCTCAGAGAAGTCCACACACAGAGAGTGAGAACTGCTCTGCCCACCTGTCCTTGGATTTTGTAGTTAACAGATCACAGCCCCTTTCTCAGCCAGTTTGCAACACTCCAGTTCCATCTCACTCTCCCTCTGCTTGCTGAATTGCTATTCATCCCTGAAGCCTGAGAGCAAATCTCAGCTTCAGGGCCTTTTCCAGCAGGCTGGTGGGACTTTCTATGTGTGTCTAAAGCCACAGCACACCTTTAAGGAAGGACTTGTCTGCTCACTGGTCTGAATGCTTTCTTCCCCTTGTCTATGAGCACACTCAGCCTCTGTCCTGCCAGGTCCTCGTGCATCCTCACAGTCTCTCAAGTGTGAGAGATGAGTAGGGTGAAGGAGAGTAGTACAGCTCCAAGTGTGGCTCAGTGTCTCATCCTCCCCAGCGTTGTGGTCCAAATAACCTGGGATTCATGGAAGTGCCCACGGCCCATCTGGCATTTAGTTTCAGATCCCTCGTGTGTGTTCTTTGTCCCAGGTCCAAGTTCACTTCAGATCTTCAGGCTTCCTTGTTGTGTCTGCCATGATTGGGGCCTTGCCAGAGTGAGGTGACCCTATGAATCTGTCTGAGGTCTATCATCCCAGTCAACCTCTGTGACATTCTGTCCATAGGCCCATGCCTCAGCCTGCCCTGCTCTGCTTTGCAGTGGCTGGTCCATGTCAGCTGGAGTCCAAGTTGTGGCTTGGGAGGCATTAGTGAGTTCACAGAAGGGCTCTGTCCCCTTCTTTGCATCACCATTAGCTGTGTATCTTTCCTGGAATGTTTCTCCCTAGAGGGCTGCTGTGGCTTCAGCTTCTTTGGTGACCTTGAGCCACAGGTCCATACTCCTGTCTTTTCCCATTGCCCTTCCAGCATAGGGACAGTAGTGGCTTCCTACGGCCACTGATTTAGCATTTGCCTAATCTCCTGATTTGGCATTTGCCTATTTCTCTACTGCAAATGAAGCTACTTTCCTGTTAAAATTCCTCAGTTTTCAATACTCAGTCGTTTCTGTTTTTATTTTGGATCTTAAGTGATGTAATGATGAACACAGGGAATGTGTAGTGGCTTGTTCTTCTTAGCAGTCCTTCTAGGGGTGGTAGAACAAGTTCTCATTTAATCTTACATCCCCACGTTGTGCATAGGGTCCAACTTCGTCTCCAGCAGAACAGGTCTGCAGCAGGTGGGGTTAAGGTCCCACAGTGCTCTTCCCCTTGCTCTTCTCTGTGTTCACCCCTCCCCTCTCCACCTCTCCCCCTATCATCTCCTCTCCTGAACTTTTCCTCTTTGTTCTCCTCTCCATTCCTCCCTTCTTGTCTTCTCCTTTCATTTGCATTTGGCATAGATTCTTTGTCTAATCCAGGATAGAAAAAAATGTTTACATGCTTTCAAATGTTATGCCCTAAGTCTTTTAAAGTTTAGGCTTTTGAAGCTTAAATGCCCAAGAGGTTTTTTTTTTTTCTTCCCTGTGTTCTTCTGTGAGAACCTTCTCCTGGCATGTGTGAGTAGAGTGTCCAGCTGTTGTCTGAAGGGTCACAGGGTAACTAGAAGGACAGCATCAAAGCACATAAGAAAACATCAAGATTGGATTCCAGCACAGAACTTATCACAAGCTGCGCTGCCTTGTGAATACTTGCTGAATGTATGGGTGAGGACTAAATGCTACAGCTTGAGATTTTTAGCAATTAGAGAAATTTATTTCCAAAGACCATACTGAGGACAAATTAAAATTTAAGAATGTACTTCCTATTGTTCCATTCTTTGTTTTTAGTTTTTCTGAAGAATATACATAATTTCAGAGGGCTGCAAATAGATAGCCATTGTTTTCTGCAGAATGATCAGAAAATAAGTCTTCCGGAGGTTGTTGCTTTGTTCCTCTGAGCCAGTTAAATTTTGATTTAAAAGATAAATGATTGACATAACATTGCTACAACAGCTGTGAAAGCTAACCTCAAACAGTCAAATTAAGATGAGTCAGGCCAGATGTCAAGTTGGGCAGCTAAACACCAGCTTGAACCAAAGTTCTGATGAAGTGCAAATTTCATGACTGCAGGCTCAAACTCAGACTTTACATGCTGGAATGTTTTGCACATATGCACCAGAAATGAAGAATAACCAGTTGTGCCTTTTGGGAGAACATTTCTTATGTTTTCTAATAATAATGTTTACTTCTCAATTCTTCTCAGTTGTCTCTTCTTTCAGCTAAAAGCACCCTACTGGGGCAGTAACAGATCCCTTCCCCTTGTTGAACTTAGAGCTAGGGGTGCAGCGTGGTCCCTCCTTCTAGCACCTACGTTCTGGAGGGGCAAGCGCTGGCAAAGAGAATAAGGAGAACTGCAGCCTCCCCTGCTCAGAGGCTGGAGGAAGACCGTATGCTCCAAGAGGAGAGAGGAGGTGTATTACGAGCCATGGAAACAGCAGCAGGAGAATGCAGAAGTGTCACACTGTGAGAACCAAGAAATCCACACACCTGGGTTCGGGTGGATCACAAGGAGATGTGGAGAGACGTTGCTTGCGAGGCAGACAGGGCCAGGTACCTTCGGAAAGCTTTGACCTTCCACAGCTTTGTGAAATACCTAATTAAGTGCAATGTTATCCATTGCCTTCCTGCCCTAAGGATTACTTAAATATGGGCTATATGGGAAATGTTTTCCATGTATATGGGAAAATGTTTTCTGCTCATGGCGAGAATTACGATTTACTCAAGACCACAGGATCCACAATTAGGGCAGCTCACTCTGTGTCTTTTGTTGCCTTAGTCACTGCCATCTTTGTTGTCCAAGGAAAAAATGAGTCAGACCAGTGTTGCAGATGGTGTGTTTAGGCAGTGGTTTAAGGATACTCTTTCATTTACCCAGACTTTAAAAAAAAAAAACCGACATAAGCTGCAGACCGTGATTCCTGCTGTTGGGGCCATCTCTGGAGCTCCCCTACCAGAGTGCGAGAGCCATCAGCACTGAGGCTTGGTTTGTTCACTGTTTTCCCGAAGCCCTAGAGTAGCAGGCACTTGATAAATACCCATTGCCTGAGGGAACACGCGCTGGGCATTTTGGTCACCGAATGTGACCTGCTCTCTACAGCCCAATTTGGAAGAGTGGGTGTGAGTCCTTTCAATAGGGTATAACAGGCATAGTGACAGAGGGGCAGAAAAACGAACTGTCAACTGAGAGATCCTCAGGGCAGAGGCGTGTAGTTACACAACTGCTCAGGGAACTCTGCGCAGCTTCATCTGCTAGAACGCGCTATGGGACAGAGATGCTCCAGGGGGGAATTTCATGCTGTTCCAGGAAGTCTGCACTTGAACCAGTAAAAAAGGGGTGTTCAGTGTCAAGTCACAGCAAGCCTCCTGTTGTAGCTTATGGGACCTGTTTTCTGGGCGATAAATTGAGGTAGAAAAACTAGGCACAGAGACCAGTGGGACGTATTTCAGGAGTTAGAAATAAAGAGACCTTTTTTGTTTTTTTGTATTTTAGGGAAGGATCTATAGGGTGTTCGGGGTCTCACCAATAGATCCTACTCAGTGATCTGCCTGTTTACAGCTTCCCAAGAACTGGGATTACAGGCAAGTGCCACCACACCCAGTCTCAGTTACCATCTCAGCACGCCCGGGGATGGGGCTGGCATGGCAGGCCCGGGATTGAACCCTGGGACCCTGCGCCTGCTTGTAGGTGCTTTAATCCACTGAGCTATTTGGCCGGCCCAGGAAGAGGCCTTCTTGAAGGCAGTCAGGCTGGGATTAGTCTGGAAGACTAATTCAATAATACATAATAGGTAGGACTTGAAGGCATTGGAGGCTGACTGGTTGTACAAAGCTAAGATCTAATGATTTTTACAATCTGGCTTTCAGTG